CTGCTGTGACCCAGGCTGGCCCCATTGCTGTGGGAAAAGGGGTTTTACCGGGCTCGGAGGCTGAGGGGCTGCTTGGCTGGGGGGTGCCCTGCGTCTGGCAGCGTGGAAAGGGCGGCTCTGCTTGTGCCAGGGCTACTCCTTTGTGCCACGCTGCTCCTTTGTGCCATGCTGCCGGGTGACTCACAGCAAGCACGCGGTCACAGCCCGTCTCCTGGTGGGACAGGAACGCTTCGTCAGGGAATGCTGCTGCAAATGGAGATGAAAACCACTTGGAGGGGTGACAGATGCATCCTAAGAGGGGGAAGACGTGGGTGTATCGTCCTCCAGCACCGACCTTTCCTTCCACTTCCCTGCCCTGGTCTCATCCTCACCTCTCCAAGGAGAGTTTATGCTGGCATTGCTAAACCAATCCTTCACGGTGCAGGAGGCGGAGGCACAACTTGAAATCTTCACCAGTCCCAAAACGCCGGGCTGCAAAGAGTTTTGTGGCCTTCCTTGGGTTGATATTTGCTGTTCTGTAATCCAGTGCTCCCACTGCTTAAGGAAAGCTTTCCCTGCCGGCTGCTGGGCGAAGGACTCCCGATGCTGGCAGGCTGGGTTTCTAAACAACCACCTCCCTGTCCTGCAGCTTGGGTCACATCGATGCCTAGGATCGGGCAGTGCCAGAAACCACAAGCTCTGGCTCTTATGGGTCAGTAATGACCCTTGGAGAGGGAACCCAACAGTTATTTTCCCTTGTTTTGGGCCGAGCCAGCTGGAAACAGAGCGCTGCCCTTGGGCTGCTGGAGGGGCGGGATGCGGGATGCCCGGTGTTCACCGCTCTCTCCTCTCTTCCAGGGTCCTGCGGAGCGGCGGCGGTGGTCCCCTTCTGATGGGAGGATGGTTGTTCTCAGGCAGTTTGGGCTTCTGCTCTGGAAGAACTACATCCTGCAGGTAGGCTGGCACCGTGCTCCTGGGGGGCTGCGTCTGGCACCGCTGACGGTGGGTACATCGGAGCTTGCCCGGGGTCTCGATTCTCCAGCAAACCTTCGCTGTGGGCACAGGGCATCTGCTGGAGGAAAACAGATCTGTTCGTGTGGCGTCGTCCTGCTTTTGTGCCAGGGAGATCCGGGCAGGGCTGTGCATACGCCGTGCCCTTCCCCTCCTGCAATCCAGCCGGATCTTGGCTCCCCCTTCTCGTGGGGCAGGATAACCTCTGTGCCCTTCTGTGCCACGGTGGGTTTCTTGGGCTGCCTTGTCCTGCAAATCCTTTGGCATCCTGCTCTGGGGGTGCTGATTGCTGCACAGCACCTGTAAACCCACCAGGACCCGGATTTTTTTTTTTCCCCTCCATTACTTTCTACCACCCTCAAAAACAGCTTTTGGGAAGATCTTAAAAAATCAAACCACCATCG